TCGTTCACTTTATTAGCTAGGGATTCTATATCCATGTTGTTATCAAGGAACTGATGATACCATTCCTGTCGGATATTTTGACCTGATAGTTTTTTAATCTCTTTCCACCACTTTACAGGGTTAACTCTATCAACATCTGCTACCTTACTATGAAAGTAATTGGATTTTGCTGACTGGATCGCACGTTGAACCTTATTCGTCCAAAAACTATAGTCTTTAGAATTTTTTCCTTGTTGTTGGAATACACATTGGCGTCTAGAAATCCACAGTTTTATCGTATTAGTAATCCACGGTCGATCTGTCGGATGCTTTTTAATCATTTTCTGTGGGAGAAAGGTATTAACTGCTTGGTCAAGCTCTGACATAAAGAGGTCAAATTTATCTTTGCTCGTATTCGCACTTAATACCGATGACCAGTTTTTTTTGGTTATCCATCGTCCAAAGGCACACCACGCAGAGTTCCGCATGTCCCGGATTCTAATTTTGGTAATAGTCTGTTTAGATGATATTGCTATATTTGGTCAGACGAACCAACCTTTGGCAATCTAGATACTTCAAACATCTTAGGTCTATTTGTTAACAGCCAATCCAATACGGCAGAATCTCTGGTTTTAAAAGATATAAGTTGTTTAAGATGGTTCACCTGTGTGATATATTTAGTCACTGTGTGCCCACAGCGACTCTAGGTTTCGGCACGCATTTTTTCGCGTATCTCCAATCGCAGATCGCAAATCTCCGTTGTACACAAATTTCCATTATGACACGTCACGATTTTAAGGAAAATTGAGTATATTGAAGTGTTAACATGTGAGACAACAACATTGAATTATAGAACTATATTTAGTTCAATTTAGTTATGTTGGAAAATTGAGTATATTTAAGTGGAAACATTTGCAACAAGGACTCAAGATTCTCTGCTCAAGGAGTGAAAGGACAAAATATCGTGAATGTTTTTGTATAGTTTTCAAGGATTCAAGATTGAAGCCTGATAGATGTTTCACAGGGTAAGTACTGAATGTATTTTATCTTCAGATACGCTCATCTCGCATGAATGTGCACATATTCGTGATAGACCTACACTAAAAGATGCTGAGCAATTTCGAACTGGGTCTATGATTCATGAATACAAACATACCTTCGGGTACAAAAAATGCAAATATACCTTCGGGTACCTACCAAAATCTTACCAAAAACCTTACCAAAAGTCTTACACAAAACGTGATCAGAAATGTGATATAAATACTATAACAATGATGAATAAAACGCAGACAAACTCGCAAACAAACGTAAACTCTGAACAAAGTTGCCTTGCCGTGAACAAACACGTGGTTATAAACATGGCCGCCAGCAGAAAGAACCAGGGCAATGTGATAACTTCTGAAGAGAAACCAACCGACAATCTCCCGGTTTGTGTAAACAAAGATCATATGGGGGGAAAAGCACATTCCACAGAACAATGTATTTCAGGTATAAATATATTTAACAACTGTATTTCTGAAATTATAAACCAGAATACAGTTAATGATGTAGCTGGCCAGAAAGAAATATATGACTCAAAGTTCAAGACTGTAGATATAAACGAGCTCCCAATACGATCACGACATGCACTATTTTCTAGAGCTTGCCCTCATGATAGGCATGATCCAGATTTGACTAAGAACACTGATTGTCAAATACATCATCGTGACCGTGAATCCAGCAGAATACCAGTGAAAGGGTTAACTAAGAAGTTTAGAAAAAGTCGATTGTTAAGAAAACAACTTAAGCATAACATCAAAAGGTCTGTACCAAGATCCTCGCAACTTCATTATATAGTATGGAATTTGTGTCGTAAAAACACTTGTCACATGAAGCGTGTCCCTGATGACATTTACTGTCCTACTACGAAGGTTGGAAAGTGAAACAGAACAAAGCTTGCAACAAGGTGTTTAGGACTTTATGTTAATCAAGGCATTCTTGCAGATATTTTCTACTTGTCAGGTTTTACTCGTGATATACATGCAAAACAGGAATACAAAAATTCTAATCACTTAAAGAGTGTCAGCCAGTCTGCATATTATATACTGATATTGAGACAAATCCTGGTCCTGTTTTTATTGATCCTGGCAAGACAATATGTGCCCCATATAGCCAAGGTAATCTTATGCTATTTGGTGAATCAGCAGGACAGCAATGTTTAGCGATGTGTTTGTGTGCTCTTATATACAGCAAAAGACAGGGCATCTGTTCATCTCAAGACCCAGAGTTGCAAAAAAGCTGCGGGCTTGCGGGCATTGCCCGTGAGGAAGGTTTACCATAGGCGAGGTCAGTGAGGAAGGTTTAGTGATCAACAGTCGCTAACACCAAAAAAGTGAAACAAGTAAATCATAGTTGAATACGCAGTTGAGGCTGACAAGTTGTGCTGGTACTATTGTGGTGGTACTATTGTGAGATAGTACCTATAACTATTGACTATGACATTGGAGAATACTGAGAACACAATAACTGAAAATATTCTGTAAAAATAAAAAGGAATAAGTGTCAAATATCAGAGGCGCCTTAAACCATTGCACCGCAAATAACAGGAGGCTATTACTAAGAGCTACTATCATGGTTACAATAAGAAATTCACCTTGAACATTATATTATTCAAAGATTATTTGATTACATGATTCCATTGTTTTTAGAGAATAATTAATAGTTATAAATTAAATGAACCATCATTGCTGTAGCAGCTAAACATTGTAATAATTATATAAATATGGCCAAGGTGAATTGTTGTAAACTGCCACAAAAATTATAAATAAAGCTGAGGAAGAAATTTTAGCATGTGTGATGTGAGTCTGACGAAAATAATACAGCTTGGTTACTAAGGTGTGTAGCTGTCATACATATTTAATACAGATCGACAAAATGTATCGAGGTCCTATAATCGAAATCATTGTTTACATACCTGATACCTACACCGTCAATTCCCACAATCTATAAGATAACCATAAGTATATTGCAGAATTGGCAGCGTCTGTTATAGACATTAATATATTGCCATTGCCATTGATTTTCAACCATTCCAAACATTACCATTGATTATAAACCGCCATGCAGGGCACTATACTGCATGGTTTAAATTTAGCACTTTGCTTCGGAAACAAGTGAGAGCATTCGCTGCTTCGCTGACTGTGTAATTGGGCGATTGGGTCACACATCTAAAGACCTAAACACTTTCAAATGCCTTTCAAAACCACAAGTACCGAAGCATCAAAATCAAATACCACCAGACCACCTCTGGAATGCTGTTGCCATGGTTTTACTGCTGACCTCTATATATGTGTACAGCATAGTTACTAAAACATGGAATGAGCCACAACGACCCCAGAATTACCTTCAGTTGCAATTTTCCATGACAAATAATATAAGTTATTGTGGATACACCACATATTTTATTATTGGAAAGCTTTCGATCCTAATCTCGATCCTAATCTTGATCTTCACACGAACCGGTGGGATTTAAAACGTGGAGAATAAATGAGCTAGCAAGGGTTAAATGTGAGAGCATCGACACACACAAATAGAGGAATACCTTTGTTCATAACATTCGGGACATACACCACTGTACTAATAAATATATTTACTTTCAGTATAATATGAAAACAATATGAACACTTTTCAGTTTCAGCCAGCAAAAATAAATGCAAAAATTAAATGAAGCTTGCGCAGATGGCAGAACAACATGAAGACAGACGATGTTCGTAATGACTACAGAATTTATCACATAGTGCAAAAGAAATTAAAGATCTGTTTTTAACGACTAAAATATTTGGCCGAAAAATATTGATAACTATTTGGAGTTGTACACACCATACACACCTTTTTCGTCCGACATGTTTAATAATCAACACATGTGATCAAAATTGGTGGGAAAATGCAAGACTTCCACTTGCGCATGCAGCGATTTTCCCTATGGATTTCCCTAGCTACGCTTCCCTACGCCCTGATTTTCTCTATAACAGGAATAGCTGTGGAAGTACTGATGGTGGCCAATGATTGGGGCACAGAATGTTGTTGTTGTTGGATTGTTGTGAACTTGTGGATCGTTGTGAGTTGTTGTGGCTGGTTTTGGGTCGTCGTGGGTAATTTTAGGGTCATTGTGGGGTCGTTGTGGCTCGTTGTGGGTCATTCCATGTTTTAGTAACTACGATGTGTACAGGCATAAATTCAACAACTTCAGTTGATATCGACAGGAAGGTTGTGACCAAATCATGCATCATATGTATAGGATGTAGATATAGTCGGTAAGGACTATCCAATTTGTCCAAAGTATAAATGTATTACTGCAAATTATATATTAGAATCATGTACTGCATTTAACGACGCGTCTCTTTCAAACTTTATGCTTTCAGAATCAGTTAAGTTTATATACTCTAATATATTGCTATTTAATGAAGCCATTATTCAATTTATTTTGAGGAAGGTTTGAAAACTTTAAATTTTACCCGGAGGAAATTTGAACAGGTTTTGCAACTCTGTCAAGACCTGGTTCAAATCATGAATATCGGAAATGAACTATATTCAAATTTGTCACATTCTGCAGGGCAATCATTTTTTATGTTTACAGAATTGCCTTCAGAACTCACAGTATTTGACACAAACTATCTTTTTGAGTACAGTGAGAGCTATAATGGTACAGTAATAGGAAATTGTTGTATTGAGGGATATCAGTACTGTGTGCCATTTAATAGAGCATTTGAATTGCTACTGGCTGAAAACTATAGTGCATTCATCTTAACAATTGACTCCAATGCTGTTTGCATATATTGCACCAATGATGGCAAATACAAAATTTTTGACTCCCATTCCAAAGATATTTATGGGAGAAGTCACCCACAAGGTACATGTGTTTTGTTAGAGGCAGCAAGTATCAGCAATGTAGTTCTTCATTTCCAGTCATTATACGGTGGAAACAATCAATTTGAGCTAAAAGCAGTAAGTATCCTAGAAACAGAAGACACAAATGAGCCATATTTGATCAACAATATTAGCAATATTGAAAATACTGAGCTATCAGGTAATGTTTTAAATGACAATAAGAGTACTGACTTCACTTGCTTATGTGAACAATGCTGTGCAATTTCATTATATTCCATTTGTTACTCAATTATTAAACCATCTAACTACTGGGATGTAAATACAATAACTGCAGTTTGTCACTTTGGGACTATTTTGTATTGCAACATTGGTGTTAACTCTTCAAGTAATCTACCTGATAAAGTGGAAATATGCGGCTATATGGTACATGTAAAATTACAAGCTAATTATCAGGGAGTTGTTGATGACCAGGCAGAAAGCCAATTGAACATTGAAAGTCTTATATGTCATGGTAATGAAAATACAAGTTTTCTTATTTGGCTTGGGGATTATTGCATTTCTTGTATCTTTACATTGAAACAACAGTCTTACTCAATATTAGCATTTGAGGAATATGATGTTGATGATAGATCACCTAGAGCAAATTTCATTAAAAACATAGATGATAAGCACACATTAATCAAGACCATCTTTAAACTTGCACACAGCAAAATTAAGGGGAAAACTGTTTGTTATGAAATTCAATTTTTGTCGTGTTCCTCTCAATTGACTGACATTGAAAGAAAAAAAGTTATGAGAAAACACAGATTAAACTACAATTCTGACAAATGGCACCAGCTCAAAAGAAACAAAAGTTAGAAATGTGCCAGATGAAATTGAAATCTATGGCAACAGAAAAGAAGCAAAAACTATTAAAAAATAAAAGAGCAAAATATCAAGATTTAGACCAATCCATGAAAGAAGACTTGCTTACTAAAAAAATGAATTATAGGCAAACAATGGGTGAAAAACAAAAAGAGAAATATTTAGAAAACAGGAGAGCAAAATATCAAGATTTAGACCAATCCATGAAAGATGACTTGCTTACTAAAAATAGAAATTATAAACAAACAATAGGAGAAGAACAAAAAGAGAAACTTTTGGAAAACAGGAGAGCAAAATATAATGCAATGGATATATTAATGAAATAAGAGCTTGTTTCTATAAATGCAAATAATAGAAGTATGGAAGAGCGTATGGCATTGGATCCAAAACAAAAAGATGTGCTCGATAGAGAGGAAGAACAACAATTACAAAATAAATCTGAACCTCACAATATTGACATGTACATTGAACAATTTAAAAAACAAATTAAAGCTGGTCTATTTTACATATGCTGTGTGTGTAACCGAACATTGTATAAAAAATCTGTAATTATCCTAAAGAAAACTAAGTATTCTGTTCAGAATTGTTTTATGGTTCAATGTTCTTTTGATGGCAATGAGTACATCTGTAAAACATGTCATACTAAATTACTTAAAAGTCAACTGCCATGTCAAGCTGCAGTAAACAATTTATTTGTTGATGAAACCCCTGCTGAACTTGCTGCATTAGAGAAACTTGAACAAATTCTTATTGCACAGAGAATAGTCTTTGAAAAAATCGTAATAATGCCTAAAGGACAACAAAGAAAAATTAAAGGTGCAATATGTAATGTGCCAGTTGAGTGTAATCAAACCTGCACTGTTCTACCTAGACCACCTGATAGAT